AGATGGCTCAGAGAGATAGTCTGCTCTTCCAGAGGTCCTGGGTTCAATTCCCAGCAATCACATGGCAGCTCACAAGCATCTGTAATGAGATCTGGCGCCCTCTTCTGTCCTGCAGGCATACATGCAGGTAGAATGCTGTATACGTAATACACTTTTTAAAAAGTGTTTAAAACAAAACAAAACATTCAGGAAGAACATCAAGGTAAATAAAAATAAACACATCAGTTAAAGAATATAAGGAGAGTGCTGGGCGGCGGTGGCACATGCCTTTAATCCCAGCACTTGGGAGGCAGAGGCAGGCAGATTTCTGAGTTCGAGAGTTCAAGGCTAGCCTGGTCTACAGAGTGAGTTCCAGGACAGCCAGGACTACACAGAGAAACCCTGTCTCGAAAAACCTAAAACAAAAACAAAAACAAAGAATATAAGGAGAGCAGGGGATGTGGCTTAGTTGGTAGAGTGCCCCACCTTGCATGCATAAGGTCCTGGCTTCCACCTCCGGTGCCAGAAACCCAGTTATGATGGCACACACTTCGAATCCCAACAATTCAGAGGCGGACACAGGACGATGAGGAGTTCAAAGTCACTGTGGGCTACATAGTGAGTTCAAGGCCAGCTTGGTTCACAGATCTTGTCTCAAAGCGGGGGAAAAGGATTTAGGGTTATGAGTTAGTGAGTATGATGACTCTCTTCGAGGCCTAAAATAATACTGAGTAAGCCAGAAGCAGGGAAAGTAAATCTTCACTGGGTGTGTGAGAATTGTGTTCTAGCATGTCTCGAGGAGAGGATGTCTTTATGAAAGAGGTAAGGGAGAGGATAAGGGGCTGGAGAGACAGCTCAGTGGTTACCAGTATCTGCTCCTTGTCGTGGTTTGTATATGCTTGGGCCAGGGAGTGGCATTATTAGGAGGTGTGGCCTTGTTGGAGTAGGTGTGTCACTGTGGGCATGGCTTTAATACCCTAGTCCTAGCTGCCTGAAAGTGAATATTCTGCTAGCAGCCTTCAGATGATGTAGAACTCTCAGCTCCTCCGGCACCATGCCTGCCTGGATGCCGCCCTGATGATAATGGACTGAACCTCTGAACCTATAAGTCAGCCCCAATTAAATGTTGTCCTTATGAGAGTTGCCTTGGTCATGGTGTCTGTTGACAGCAGTAACACCCTAACTAAGACACTCCTCTTGCAGAGAACTCAGGTTCAGTTCCCAGAATCCGTATCAGGCAGCTCACAACTGCCTGCAACTCGGGTTCCAGGGAACCCATGCTCTCTCTGTCTCTGAAGGGCACCTGCAGGCATGTGGTGCACATATACTCACTCAGGCACACAGACACACACATAAAACAAAATAGAAAAGTAAAGTACACCAAGCTGGCCTCGAACTCAGAGACCTACCTTCCTCTGCATCCCAAGTGTTGGGAATAAAGGCGTACACCACCGCGAACTACAAAATAGTCCCCCCCCCTTAAATTGTAACATTTATTTTTAGATGTGGGCGTAGACTAGCTCATGCTATGAGCTGTGTCTGTATGTAAGTCAGAGGACAACTGGCTGGAGCTGGATCTCTTCTTCTACTGTGGCGTCCTCAGGGAACAAATTCAGCTTGGCAGCAAGCACCTTGACCCACTGAGCTATCTTGCTGACCTCTCATTGGGTTTTATTTTCTTTTCCTTTTTTTTTAAAAAAGATTTACTTATTTATTTTTTATGTATGTGAGTACACTGTACCCTGTTTTCAGACACACCAGAAGAGGGTATTGGATCCCATGACAGATGGTTGTGAGCTACCATGTGGTTGCTGGGAATTGAACTCAGGACCTTTGGAAGAACAGTCAGTGCTCTTAACCATTGAGCCATCTCTCCAGCCCACACTGGGTTTTCTTAAAAAAAAAAAAAAAAAGCGGAAGTGAGCCGGGGCAGGAGTGAGCAGAGTGTGGGGTGGGGGAGGGAGAAGGGAAGGGGAAAAAAAGTGGAAAGTGAAATTCATACACACACACACACACACACACACACACACACACACACACACACACATTTTCCTAGCCCTTCTAATAAATCATTCATTGCCCAGCTCTTGTATTTGATCTAACATCCTTGAAACTACCAGGTAAAATCTTTTATTTTTTTAGAAAAGTACAAACAGCTTCCCCAACTCAAAGGCTGAAAATGTCCTTGGCTCTCATCCCAGGTCTCCTATAGCAGAGACAGAGATGGCCTCTCTGCTCTAGCCCACCAACCTGATGTTCCAGCCAGGTGTGTGAGAGATACTTTGACTTATGATCATCTTTGTTCTTTGTTAATGTAACCAAGGTTTATGACCCTGTTACCGTATTGGGCTGTGGTATTTGGGGTGATCTGAATCTGTCTCTGGACCAGGGTCACTCTCCTTTTGATTTCACAATGAAGTATCTCATTACCTTTAAGGTTTGAGCTGTGTTTGACATTCAAAGGAGAAACCCTTTTAGTCACAGGAGTCACAGGCTCATCCAAATGTAGACACTGTGTACTGGTCAGCCTGCTTTCACAACCATCAGCATTAGCTGCTGGTTTTCTTTTAATGCGTGTGCTATATGCATGTGTGTGCACCTGTGTGTGCATTTGTGTGTGCACACCTGCGTGTACAGCTGTATGCGGACCTGTGTGCACACCTGTGTGTGTAGGTGCAGTCATCCCATTCACGTGTGTGTGTAGAGACCGGAAATGAACAGCAGGTATCTTCCTCTCACTCTGCCCACCTTATTAAGGCAGGGACTTGATGTGCCTGGAACTCAATGTTTTGCCTAGGCTGGCTGGCCACTGAGACCCTGGGATCCAGCATTGGGCTTACTGGGTTTTACATAGATGCTGGGGATCCAAACTCAGATTCTTTCTTATTCCTTTCTTTTCCTTTTTTGTTTATTTATTTATTTATTATTTATTACTTTTTATTTTTTCAAGACAGGGTTTCTTTGTATAGCGCAGGCTGTCCTGGAACTCACTCTATAGACCAGGCTGGTCTTAGACTCAGAGATCTGCCTGTCTCTGCCACCTGTGTGTTGAAATAGAGGCGTGAACTGCCACTGCCCGGCTCTGAACTGACTCTAATGCTTCTGCAGCAAGCACACTGTCCTGTGAGCTATCTCCAGTGTTCCTGCCATCTCCTGGGTGCCAGCTTCTGGATTACGACATTCCTATTTCTTCTGGGGATCTACAGTGGAGCCCATTGTTGATGAATGCTCTATGGATAGTTCCACACTTGCTTCCTGCCACTGCCCCAAGAGACCCAGCCTCCGCATTCAACTTCTTATGACCATCTAGATCATCAATGAAGACAAACAGAACCTCTGCTTTGTTTTATTTTGGTTGGTGTTGAAGAACCACAGAATCAGGCAATGTTGTAACTGGAAGCTCCTTTCTGCACCTCATAAAGAGAAAAAATTGTGAAGATAAAAAAATCATATTTTTGCTGGGTGTGGTGCTGCATGCCTTTAATTCCAGCATTCAGGAGACAGAGGCAGGTAGATTTCTGGGAGTTTGAGGCCATCTGGTCTAGAAAATGAGTTCCAGAATTGCCAGAAATGCATACTGAGACCCTATCTCAAACAAACAGACAAACAAACAAAAAATTAATACAGAGAGGTCCGAATCTCCTCCCTTTCCTCTCCCTTTAGCCCTTTTTAGCCTGGGCTGGTCTTACATTTCCTGTGTAGCTGAGGATGACTCTGAATTCCAGTTCCTCCTGTGCTGCCTCCGATACTAAGATTCCAGGCTTGCACCATCACACTCTGTTAAACTTTTATCATTTCTGAACAGTGTAAGAGAAACTACACATTGTCTACTCTTTGCAGACTGGCACAGGGGGTCACCCACTCTAGTTCTTATACTATATCAATAGTTTGTTCTCCGTTATTGCTGAGTGCTCTTTCATGGTATTTGTGTACCACGTTTTAACCCTTTATCTACTGAAAGCCATTTCTAGTTTGGGGCTATGAATAAAAGTGAACATGTGTATACACATTTCCGACTGTCCAAAGATAGGAAGTCAGACGTCACATTTTGGAGGTTTAGTTAACCCGGTCGCTGTTTACCAAGACTGGCCCTGAGTAACTCCAGATTGATCCTTTTTCTGCTTCCAACTTCCAAGCTATCATTTCTCTCTCTCTCTCTCTCCTCTCTCTCTCTCTCTCTCTCTCTCTCTCTCTCTCTCTCTCTCTCTCCTCTCTCCTCTCTCTCTCTGTCTCTCTCTCTGTCTCTCTCTCTCTCTCTCCTCTCTCTCTCTCTCTCTGTCTCTCTCTCTCTCCCTCCCTCCCCCCCCCCCCCCCCTCCCTCCCTCTCCCCCTCCCCCTCCCTCTCTGGTGTTTGTGGTGGAGTGAGAGACTAAGATGTGGATTTTACTTAGCCTAAGTGTGGATCAGAGGACAACTTGTGGCAGTCAGTCCTCTCCTTCCACCTCCTGTGACCCTGGAATCGAGCTCAGATTGTCAGGCTTGGTGGCAATCGCCTTTATCCTGAGTCATCTTGCCCCAGGATATAGATTTAAAATTAAGGCAACATTCCGTCAATTCCTATAGTACTTCCTTACTCAAATATCAGAATCCAGGTATTTTGCAATGAGTCTGCTTCCACGTATAGTGAAGCTTTGATCGGCGTTCAAAAAATGATCAAAACCTTCAGGAACGGGGGGGACGGAGGGGGGAAGGAGGGAGGGCCTGTAGCGCAGGACCTCTAGATGTGAGAGCAGCAAGCATTTTGTTACAGTGAAAGAGCACTAACACTTTAATCCCAGAACAAATGAGCAGTAGAGTGTGACAGGCAAGGACGCCACATCCGCGTTCCCTAAAGGAAAAGTAGTCGTGATGGGAATCCGTAGAGTACCTAGGGCACCGTCACCCTAACGTCCCGCCTTAAAGGCAAAGTTAGCGTGTGAGGGCGGAAGTGTGTCCGGAAGCTGGAGGGCGGAGTGGTGGGAGTGACGTCCAGCAGAACCAATGGAGTGGCGCGGCGGGCTTGTTGTCTTACGCCGGTGGGTAAGGGCTAACGGTTTCCGGTAGTGGTAGCCCCGGAGGGTGGGAGGAAAGAGGTGACACCGTGTCCCGAAACCCCGAACTCTGAGAACGAGATGATGGGCTTCGGGGTGTCCGCGTTAGAGTCCACCGAAAGCGAAGAGGCCCTGGAGGCCCCGGGGCCACCCCCGGAGCCCCGAGCCCCGGAACCCCGTGCCCCAGAACCCGAGCCGGGCTTGGACTTGAGCCTGAGCCCGAGCCCGCTGCCCGAGAGTCCGAAGCAGCGGAAGAACAGCCCGGGTCAGCGGAAGGGGCGGCGGGGCGGTAGCCGGAGGGGGCGGCAGGTGAGCAGCGTTAAGGCCCGGCCCCCTGCCCGCCGAGCGCCCCGGAATCCGCCGCTCACCGTTCCGTCCTCTACTCCCAGGTTCGTTTCCGACTGGCGCCGCTCTCCCCGGTCCGGTCCGAGCCGCTGCCGGCGGCCGGTGCACCGGGCGACAGCCACGAGCTGGAGGCGCCGGCCCTGCAGAGCAGCCTGGCTTTGAGTCTCGAGCTGCAGAACGCGCGCGCCGCTGTCGCCAGCGGCCAGTTTGATGCCGCGAAGGCGGTGGAGGAGCAGCTGAGAAAGTCGTTCCAGACCCGCTGTGTCCTGGAGGAGGCCGTGGCGGAGGGTGAGGGGGTCAGGCGGCCGGCCCCGCGCGGTGGTCTGGGTGAAGGGCGTCCCTCACCCCTGCCTTCCCTGCGCTCGCAGGGTTGAACGTGCCGCGCTCTAAGCGGCTCTACCGAGACCTGGTGAGTCTGCAGGTGCCCGAGGAGCAGGTCCTGAGCGCGGCGCTGAGGGAGAAGCTGGCGATGCTGCCACCGCAGCCCCGAGCCCCGCCCCCGAAGGTGAAGGAAGGGATCCAGGGACCTGGACAGCCCTTACCCGCTGGGCTCTGTCCCCTCACCTGGAGTGTAACCTGCCTCACCTTCCCACAGGAGGTGCTCGGGCCGGGGCCAGACATGACCAAGCTGTGCAACCAGGATTCTCTGTGGTACGAATCTCCGCACTTGACAGTGGATGGGCTGCCCCCGCTAAGGCTTCAAGCCCGGCCCCGCCCTTCAGAAGATACCTTTCTCATGCATCGGATGCTGAGGCGCTGGGAAGCATAGACCTCAAAACTTCGGAATTGCTAGTCTGCATCTTTTGTTAGAACTTTTTTTTCATAGAATAAAATGTTCCTTTCACCGCCCCCCCCCCCCCTTACCAAACTCTTCTTGAGAGCATAGATAGGATTAAACTGCTTCAGGGTCTTAGGTCCTGTAGGTGGACCTCCCCACTCCCCCATGATGGCAAGTGGAAAGCATTGTCCTTAGTGTGAGGTCAGCCCTTCCTCTCCACTTAAATCACTACCTTTGTTTTAATTATAATTAGAACTTGAGCCTTAGCCCGACACTGAGGCAACGTGCATGTCCCAGCACTTGGGAGGCCGAGGCAGAAGGATTCTATGTCCAAGGGCAGTCTGAGCTACATATGTTATTTTGATATGGTTTCAGGCTGTGTAGGTTCAGATCAGTGGTAGTATCTGGTGAAGCATGTACAAAGCCCTGGGTTCAATCCCCAGAGTGAGTGTGCAAGAGTATAGGCAAACAGTAGTCAGAGTGCTTTAGATTCCACTTTGACTGGGTGTGATGAACACTTGAGGTGTTCACAGGAGCAGGCATTCCAGGCCAACCTAAGTTAGTTGACACTGTCTCAAAACAACAGTACACACACACACACACACACACACACTGCCCATTTGTCTCTCTACGTAGCTCTGGTTGTCCTGGAACTCATTATGTAGTCTTGAGTTGGTCTTAAACTCAAGAGACTTGCCTGCCTCTGCCTCCCAAGTGCTGGGACTAAAGGCATGTACCACTACACCTGGTTATTCAAATACTTCTGAGCAAAAAGTCCTTACCCAAATGTGAGTTTTAACATTAAATGATTGCTTCAAAGGAGACTTGGCTTGCTTCCTTTTATCTGAGTGTTGCCCATGTTGTCTGGGACTAACAGGAGAGTGCTCAGGGTTCAAGGTTCCAGCTGCTCTTGACAGACTCATCAAGACCTCCACTTTGCAAACCACCCAAGTATCTCATTCCATCAAGGGTCCTGGAGCAGGTTTGTGGCTCTGGGCTATTAACCATTTCTGGTTCCATTTTACCTCCACTGCCAAGCCCGCTAAAGTCAGCCTGCCGCAAACTTCCATACACAAACACTTATCTGGGTTTTTTTTTGAGGAAGGCAATTTGGATCCACTCCCATCTTAAGCAGTGTAGAAGGGCACTGTACTGCCTAGTTTCTATCAACCTTGATGCAAGCTAGTTAGCAGAGAAGAGGGAGCCTCAACTGACAAAATGCCTCTGTAAGATGAGGCAGTAGACAACCCTACAGGACATTTTCTTAATTAGTGGTTGATGAGAGGGTCTGGCTTGCTGTGGGCTGGTGGTCCCGGAGTCTGTAAGGGTGAGCAACCTACAAGGAGCAATTCAATAAGCACCCCTCAATGGCTTTTACATTAGCTCCTGCCTCCTGGTTCTTGCCTTCCTGTGGAAACATACGCTGAATAAACCTCTTCCTCAACTTTCTTTGGTCATGGTGTTTCATAGCAATAGTAACTCTAAGACAGGTACTAATAGTCTCCCAAACTACCAACCTCCCTAACTCCTACCTCTTTGAGACACTGACACTATGCAGTCAACCCAGGCTGGCCTCACACCTTCAGATCCTGCCTGTCTCTGCTTCCCAAGTGCTGGAATAAAAGGCCTATGTACCACCACACCCAATAAAAACCACCCTCAAGAGACTAGGATGGGCAAAGGGAGCACAGTCCTACTACGAGGTACTTACTACCTCTGATAGAAAGTGCTGGACACAGGTGCGGGGGCCACCGCCCTAGTTATCAAGTTTATTGTGCTGTTCTCACATTCCAAACCCAGCTCCCTCCCACCGGGGGACAGCAGGACTGTCACAGTAGCTGTGTCTCCTTACCAAACTCCCTTTAACACCCTTAGTCCATCCACGGTCCATTTAAGTGCAGTTAGGAACAAAGGCTGAGGAGAAGCGGGAAATCCTCCGAGAACAGGAGGAAGGGCCTAGAGAATTTGACATTCCCCCTTCCCATGTCCTAGGAGGACAGAGTCGGCAAACAGTCCATGCCACGGAGGAAGCTGATGTAATTCCAGCACAGTTGGGCTTGCTCAAGTGCCAGAGGTGTCAGGGAGGATACGTGGGGTAGCAACTTAGGAAAAGCTCTCTTTACAGATCCAAGAAAAGGAGAAACTTTTTGGAGTTAGACAGGAAAGACCTTGGGATAATTTCCTCTTCCCCCAGGTCCTCAGGAGCAGCAAGGGCAGCCTCTTCACAACTTCTAACTCAAAAGGCCACTTAGTGGCTGGGGGATCGAGCCTTGTGGAACAAGTACACCGGGCGCTGGAAGCCTGAAGGGAAGACAGAGGCAGGTGGGTAGGGCCTTGGGGTTTTCCACAAGGCCTGGACCCTTGCAGCCAGGACCTCCCAGCCAACAAACGAGAGCTTACCTCTGGAGGTGTTACTCGGTGTGGCCACACGCTCATAGCTGGAGAAACCCACCTCTGGGGATGTCAGGTAGGAACTGAACTGTTCTGGCTTCAGCTGGATTCGGAAGTAGTTCTTATAGATTGTTTCCTGGGGAAAGGGAAGGGGTCGCTTCTACTTAGCACCAGTTTCCTTGACCAATTATGACATACTTTTTCCTTGCTCAGAAAGTCTGAGCTGGAGGATGAAAAGTTCAAGATCAGCCTGCACTACAGAGCTAGTTCAGGTCAGCAGCTTAGCCAGTCCCAAATAAAAAGGGGCTGACTAGTTGGTGGTGGTCCAGTCCTTAGAAGGCTGGTCCAGAGTAAGTTTCAGGACAGCCAAGGCTACACACAAAAACAGTCTTGGAGAAAGGGCTGGGGCTGTAGCTCACTGGTAGAGAAAACACCATCCCTGCCACATGTGAGGTAAGGGGCTCAATCCCCAATAAAAATAAGACGATTATTCCCTCTCTACAGAAATCCAACTCACCGTGAGAGACTTTCTCCTGCAATAGGAGGACCACGGTTGGGGCTCCAGGACCAGAATCCCCCCAGGGCGCAGATGTCGGTAGATCCGGCGGAACATTCGCTTCAGCCCCTCATCTCCCCAGTTCAGGTGCACCCATTTGGTGAGGCTCAAGCAGAGCACCACATCATACTCTGGTCGTTGGGCATCCACTAGCTCATCTCGGTCCAGGACATAGTTACCCTGTGGGCCAGAAGAGGGAAGAGTGTCAAAGATGGACGAGAAGCACCACTGGCCCCACAGCCACCTACAGACTGAGGAAGTCCTACATACAACACAACCTCACTTCAGCCCTTGTGGCCTTCTTCTGAGGCTCTTCCCAATAGCACCTTCTTTCAGCCTCAAGTTCTCTTCTTCCTTTCCCCGCTCCTGGTGCTAAACCAAACAAACTTAAAAGGGAGCCTGGGTAGACTGAAATTGAGCTAATTATCCAAGAGTTAACTGGAGAATACTGAAGTGTTCCCAAGACCACAGCCTGTGCTTATTTTTACTCCTGCCTACTCTTGCCCAGGAGACCTCACAAAGGCCACAGTTCTATAGACAGAGACTCTTTCCATAGTCGTGTTTCAAGTGTATTCTTTCTCTAACAAGATAACCTTAGGAAACCTTTTTTAAAAGAAGGTAAACTCATCGCCACTCCCGGGAAGACATTTTTCCAGGCTAAGCCACTGGCAGAAGTTCCTCTGGATGGTCTAACAAGCACTTAATGGAGGAAGCTAGCACTGACAGGCCACAGGCTGTCAGGCTGGGCACTCTCCTCCAGGTAGAGTCCTGTCTGCACTGCCCTTCTCTCACTATCCAGACAGCAGGGGAAAAACAAGCCTACTGGGTTCCTGACGAGTAATTTCAACAGTCTGTGCTGTATCTAGGGAAACAAAAAACAGCTGAAGCAAACAAAGTCCCTATCAAAGGCCCCAAACTACATATACCGGAGTGTTTGCTCTCCCCGAGACACCCAACTTCAGGCTCCCCCAGGAGATTTGAGGACAAGGTTCCATCTGGACTGAACAGTAGAGGTTACCCTCAAGGGAAGGTTGATTGTCTGGATTATAGTCCCAGTTGGAAGCAAGACAAGTCAGCCCCCTATGTTGGGGATGAGATCCTTGTTTGTAGTCATGAGAAAGGACCAGATGTTAGAGCCTGAAGGTAGAGATCCCACTTTCCACGTTATAGGAGCAGAGAGACAACACCCAGTAGAGATTCTCTGGCCAATGCAGACTGTTCTCTCCAGGAGATGGTTCTTGTATGGAGGAACAGATGCATGGACACCTCTGGGTCATGACCATCCCCCCAACACATTCCTATTTAATCTCATCTTCACATTTGGACCCTATTCCAAGAGCCTTTGGACTCTTACCGTGACGAAGACGACATTGTTGGGGAAGACAGATGTGTCCGCTCCATCCAAGGGCACTTGGGGTGCAGCGATGGGACCCCGGCTGGCTGTCAGTGAGGCTGGGAAGCAGCTTCTTTTTCGGACAGTGACAGTCCCTTCCTCCCCCTCTGTCCCTGGGTCCCCCTCAGAAGTCTGAGCTTGGAGACGAAGCTCCTCGGACAGGTAGTGTCGTATATTTTGGCGGGCAGAGTGGATAAGCCGTGGATCAATGTCCAGCCCCACCATGCGGGCTGGGCCCCACTTGCAGGCAATACTTAGGGTCAGATGGCCAACGTTGCAGCCCAGATCTAGGACGTCCCGGCCTTGAAACCACTCGGGCTTCAACACCCTAAGGCGCGCGTCCTCACAGGAAGGATTGCGATAGCCATAGTACTTGCAGTAATTCCCATACTGGAACTTGAGCTGTTGCTTTTTGAAGCCAGTCGTAGGTAGAGGGTGGTGGTGACGGCCTCCCCCACTCCCTCTGCCCTTTTCCTTGGAACCCTGGCTTCCACCCCTAGCCCCTGCCTCTGACTTGCTGGAAGTCCTGCGACGTTTGCGATGTCGAGAGGAGGAGGAAGTGGAAGGTGCAGAGGTAACTGAGGCAGCAGGAGGGGCAGAAAGGGAGCCTGAGGAACCCTGCAGGGCAGATGGAAGGGGAGACACAACTTCATCCCTGCAGTTGATGGCTGTGTTGAGTTCATAGGGTTGAGGGGCATCACGGTTCTGGCTTCTGTGCTGCTGCTGCGTAACGCCCTCCCCATGGAGTGAGGGCGTGAGAGGGTCAGTAGGCAGCACAGAGTGGTTATCATTCCCTCCAGACGCCTGCTGCTGCTGGTGGTGCGGTCCCCGGTGTCTATGGCGCTTGCGACCAATCTTGAGTGGCGAGGCAAGCACTACATGGGCTTCATCAGTGCAAGTGTTGAGACTGAGCGGGTCAGTGATATCTTTGGGGATGAGGATCTCCACAGGGTCTCGCCCCTTGGCCGGAAGTGGGGATGACTTTGGGGTCTCCGCATTGAGTGCGCGACTCACTTCCTCATCCAGGAGGCTATTCAGGTTCAGTGGATCAAATATATTACCCCCCAGAAGGAAATTGGACGGTAACACAGAGTCGCAGTCCGAATTCACTCGCCGGCGCCTCTTGAAGGCCGGATGTTTGAAGCTTCCACCGCTCCCTCCCCCCACGTTACAGCTATTTCTTCTTTTGCCCCCACCACCCCCAGGGGGTCGGTGGGGCTGGTAGCCATTGCGGGGTCGAGGAGGGGCTGGGGGACCCAGGTCTGTCCCGCCCCCTCCCCGGCGCTCCTCCCCCACGTCCGCAGGAGCGGTGGCTCGCCCGTGGGGCTCCCCATGCGCCTGTGCCTGGGGGCCGCCCCCTCCGCTGGCTGCGGCCCCGGCCGGGTGCGCGCGTGGGCCCGGCCCGCGTTCTGTCCCATCGCGGAGCTCCCCGGAGGCAGCCTCTTGGTGCGATCGCACCTCGGGGCCGCCCCCTCCGCCCGA